GATGAAGTAAAAGTGCTACCAATTAAGCGCACCGCGAACATAATCGGTCCTATATCATACCATATAATAAACATATGATGCTTGAATGCGGTAATTTTTCTGATGAATTAAAAATCGCGAAAGTAATTCCTGTCTACAAGGGTGGCGGAGAGACCTTAATTAATAATTATAGGCCCATTTCAGTATACTCCCGGTTTTCTCCAAGATTTTCGAGCGTGTAATCAACGACAGGATAACAGCTTTTTTTTTTTTTTAAATATCATAATAACTCCTGCTCAGTATGGTTTCCAGAAGGAAAAGTCTGCAGAAGCAGCCCTAATCGACATTAAAGATAAAATTGCGGAAAACATTGAAAACAGATTGGTCACGCTGGGATTGTTTTTCGGATTTAAAAAAGGCGTTCGACACTGTGGAACACGATATTTTACTAAAAAAAACTTAATATATATGGTATACGAGGAATAGCACTAAAATTAATTAAAAGCTATTTAAATGAACGCTACCAATATGTATGCTTAAATAATGGGTCATCCAGTGAAATGAAAATAAAACATGGCGTTCCCGAAGGCTCTATTCTAGGGCCTCTACTACTCCTTTTTTACATAAACGATATAACGGAAATACCTGGCTCCCCTCAGTTAATAATGTACGCAGACGACACAAATGTATTTTTTGCTGGTGAGAAAGAACAGATCGTAGAAAAATTAGCCAATGATTATCTTTTGAAACTCTCAAAATGGTTAGAAACAAATCGCTTAGGTCTAAATACCAGTAAAACAAAATGTTATTTTTAAGCCGATAAACAAACGCGATCACAGTACTATCAACATAACACTTGAAGGTACGTTGCTGGAGCAAGCTACAGAGCAAACATTTTTGGGGGTGTGGTTTACTGAGGACCTCTCTTGGTCAACTCATGTTAATATGCTCAAGGGTGAACTGTCCCGAGTTACTGGTAGCATATACAAAGTGCACAGTTTACTACCGACCTGGCTTAAACAAACATTATACTACTCTCTATTTTACTCAAAAATGAGCTATGGCATTTTGGTGTGGGGAACTACGACAGAAACTAATTACAACAAACTAATTATCTTGCAGAAAAAAATCTTGCATGTATGAACATTATAAAGGAGACAGAAGAACTTTAAGCACGCAACCACTTTTTAATAAATATAATATGCTAAAAGCAGATCAAGTATTTTATTTCAAATTATTACAATTGATACACAGAAACAAGCTCCACACTACACCAACCTACAATCTGAGCACGTACAATATTCGAAACCCAATAAGAAAGATGCCGGCAATAAGAACTATGGCCGACAAAGGCTAAATTTCCAGATAAATAAAACACTGAATAGGAAAGATATGTCCGTAGATTTCCATCAACCTTTTAATAGTTCTAAATGTGCTTGTAGAAGGATGCTTGTGGCAAGTGAAATTGCTTTTTCATCTTTGTTAGTGCCGTAAACTTCATGAGTGTTATAAATATGTCTTTGATTTTTGCGCATAATTCCATTCCTTGTTTCTTGATGTTTAAGTGTGAGAAAAAACCTTTTATTGATTTTTTATTAATACCACCGCGTGGTGGCAAATTTTAATGTGATGTATCGTCTACTTGTATTTTTTTGCAGTCTACAACGGAAGCATGTCTTTGTTCCTGGTCGTTTTCGATGATCAGTGTTTTTTTATTTTTTTTTTTATTTTATTTGTTATGGTAGATGAAACTCTCATTTTATTTATATATTTTTAGAATTTTGCACAAATGCCTCGTTCCATTTACTACTAACAGATCGGTTTGGCAAATGGCGGATTTTGTGTCTCTGATGTATTTTCCACTGTGTTTTTCTACTACACTGCTGGACCGTACGGGGGGGGGGGGGGGGGGGGGGGCAGAGGCCCTGTCAGGCACCAAGCCTTTACCTCTGCCCCCTACGCGGAACTTCCCGCGAAACAAATAAATAAAAAAAAAAAAAATGTTCCGCGACGTTAGCTTTCCTTTATTGTTTTGCGCACATGTTCGCCCCATTAAATATTTAGTTTCTTCAGTTATTCGTCGCCTCATCATTTGTCATTTAAAAAAAAACCCAGGATGTTCTTTTTTGCCGTTTTCTCTTGTTGCGTGATAAACATTCTGATTAACCAGATTTGTGCAACCATATAATTGTGTTTGACACTGACGTCGATACAAATTACGCAATTAGGAAGTATCTTCAAAAGTAATTGCATTACATTTCTAAGTATTTGTACTCTACTCAAGATACTTTAAACTAAAAGTAACTTGAGTAGTATTTGAAATATTTTATGAAGCAGGGATTTCGTAACTTAACTTAAATACTTTTATCGAGTCTTTTGTCCAACACTGACGTACATATATCTGGGTGTTCGGATGTCGAACGATCGTTCATGGAACGCTGAAGTTGACGACGTTGCCAGGTGGCGGGTATTGAACTTTATTCAGTGAAATTTAAAATGCGCCGAAACCAACTTGAAGAAAACAGCATATCTGACATCTGTAGGACAAATTCTGCAACAGGCATGTATTGCATGGAACCCTGAACAGAAATATCTGATTGAAAACAAGTAAAAATTGAAAATAGGGCAGCGAGGTTTGGTCTGGGGCGATGCGGACAGAAAGACAGTTGTACTAACACGAAGAAAGAATTAATTAGGGAATTGCTCTCAGCCCGACAGAAAAAAAAATTGCGACTAAGATTTTTATTCTTAATATTTAATAGCAGACTAAATATTAACAAAAATACTTATTAAAAAAATTCCGACGACACCTAAACACTTCTTATGAGTTGTGAATTCAAAAGCATGAATGTCGTTCTTTCGCTTCCTTAGTTCGTCTGCGCTGTACTGGCGTAAACGGCCTCGTTTCGCTAGTGCCTAGGTTGCGACCACCGACGATATGGATGCCTCATGCTCCGCGATGTTCCTCCCTCGGCGCTCCTCCGGCGACGACTGACATGAGACCGACGGTCGAGCGCGCTCCTTCCTGGCGTGCGTGCCGGAGCGCCTGGAACAGGGCTTCTCTGTGGGGTGGCGATCCTTGGAACTATATACGCGTCCCGGCCAATGGCTATCTAGGGAGCCGTTTCGCTGAAACTTTCAGCTTTCTCGCGGTTACAGCGGCTACAGACGCTGCCTGCTCCTGGGAATTTCTTGCCGCCGGCTGCTTGCGTTGTTCGCAGTGACAGACGCCATTGGCTCCATTCCATCGGACAGTTAATGTTTCGCAGTAAAAAAAAGTACTGTTTCCAGTCGTACGGATCACTGTTTTAAAATAAGAGAATGCCGTGCCAGAAGGAACGTGTACTCTTATTTTTTTCTGTTAAGACCATCCAACAATGGAACAAGCTGTCGGAGGAGAAAATGTGCTCTGCAAGTAGAACTGTTTTTTTTTTTTTGTTTTTTGCTTTTTTTTTTGTTTGTAACCTACCTGGCAACTTAACATTTGAATAGAGAAATGGGCTCTCGTCGAAGTTCGCGGTACAAGTCTATGCTCTGGTGTAATTTTATAAGACACCCGCAATATTATTTGTTTGAAATTCCTCTCCGTGAATGAAAATTAGTGATGTACAGTCTCCGGCAATATGAAAGACCCACTGGGAGCGCGTGGCCGAGGCGGTGGCTGGCGGGGGCGCGGCGAGCGCTCCGGGCAATTCCATTCTGCTTCGAGGGGAGGACGCTCACTCGGGGCTCAGCACTATCTGATAAGCGCGTTTCGCTTTATCTGAGCCCGAGTGAGCGCCCTCCCCTCGAAGCAGAATGGAATTGCCCGGAGCGCTCGCCGCGCCCCCGCCAGCCACCGCCTCGGCCACGCGCTCCCAGTGGGTCTTTCATATTGCCGGAGAGTGTACTCTCCTGGTACGTTAATTCATCACTTGGTATAGCACGGCGAAAATACATATAAATAACTGAAATAAACATGTTACCTCGACATTTGTTTCTTGAAAAAAAAAAATAAAGTCCCAAGCTTTCAGAAAATTGTAAAAATTGAGATATCAACCATAAAAAAAACATCGGGGTATTTTTGTTTTTTGTTCGATATTCGAACAGTTCACCTGTGAAAGGCAGTTTTCAAGATGCACACGCAAAAAACAAGCAACCATATATTTTAGGATAAACGTTAAACGTCAAAAGGTCGGAATTCTATTGCAGTGCGCGTAGTGGGTTTGGCTTCATTCCTTTACGTCAGTGTGCAATTTGGTTTGGAACATCCCTGAACACAGCGCGTGTATGCGGAGTGCAAGTTACTTGGCTTCTTGCACATGGGTTGCGATGATGTCAGAACGCCGAGTTCTTATTGGCTTATTGACAAATAAATAGGGGGTAGACGTCGAGGCATCTAACATTCGGGTCTACCCAGTATCCTTTCAATCAAAGCCAATCAGAGCTCGGCATCGTTCTGACGTCGCCACAACTTGGGCGCAAGGAGCAGGCGACGTGCTCTCCGCATACAGCAAGACGCGGCTGTGATGTCACGTCGCAGCGATGGCGCTGCTATTGGCTGAGCGCATGCGCAAACGCCACGTCTCGTGCGGGAACTCAGCGTTGTCCCACATCTCGTAGGCGCTTGTTCGGATACAGGGCGTTGACATTTGAAAAGAGCCGATGATGCACTACTTCGAGTCAGTCGTGTCGTCGTCGCCGTCAAAGGATGCGCGGTACCTCTTTTTGTTGTTGTTGTTGTCACAAATTTCTTTTGTTAAAGATTTAATTTCAGTCTTAATTGCATCTGCTCGGTTTTACTTTTAACGATATAAGCTAAATGTGTGTCTCGAAGCAGGAACTCCCTTTCAAAAGGCTCGTCATTGTTATGTATCAATATCTTAGTACAATTTCGTCATTGTTAGTTTCTTTGTTTGTTTGTTTTTACACATTTTTTACCGTTTATTCGCTTCTTTTCGTTTCCTCTGCAATTGTTTTATTAATCAGTTTATTTCTCAGGCCCTAAACAGGAATGGACCCTCAACGTTGTCTCGACGTAACCAAAACCTCCATGAGCAACGAGGAACTCCGAGAACGATACCTCCGGGACTTCCTGCCCCGAGACTTCAGGGAGATGCAACAAGCAACCGTTCACTTCCGCTTATTCTACCAGAGGGAGCTTCATTATATATTCAACTCTCGTAAGTACATAGAACTCGAGTTTACCCAGCAAATGAAAACGACTGTCGCCAATCATCAAGATTTATTTTCGCGCTACAAGTTTGAAATCATTATCTAATGGTATACGACATCTGTTTCATGCAAAACGACCTTTTAAGGCATGGCTCGCTTAGCTCAAGCATACCGTTGGTCGTTTTGCACATTTCACTAAGACGTGCACAATGTTTGTGCGAAGTTCATAATCGGGAATAGGTAATTCCATCACGCTAGGGCACGACAAACCCTTTCAATAAAGCTCTCTGCTGGCCTTGATTGGTGGTTTCCTCTTCTCCACTCGCCTCCTCTTGTGCCTTCGCTCGCTCCACTCCTCTAAAGTGGAAAGGGTTGAGGGCTTTGCGAGAGGAGCTTGCCCTGCTTTTTTAAACCTGCAAAGGGCTATAAAACGCGCTCTATGTTCTAAAGAGCGGAGAACTGTTAAGGCTCATTCACACTGCCCCATTTTCTTACGTTAAGTTACGTTTCAAAAAGGAAGTTTGACACGCGACATTCGTCACACGAATGTTTCAGTAACTTATACGTAACCTAACTTAACGTTAGAAAATGGGGCAGTGGGAATGAGCCTTTTGATTGCGAAGCACTTTGGGTACGGATAAAAATCTCCTCGTCTTTTGTGTTAGTTCGACCTTCTTGGTTGATCAGCCGTTCTTCAAAACTATTTGAAATCACTTGCGCTGGTTTGTCCTAACGACATCCTCATACTCACCGGTGATTTTAATTACCCTGATATTACAACGCCTGCTCTACCTGCTCGCATTCCGTTTGATTTGTTGTATTGTCTTCCCGCTCAGACCCGATGCTTTGTTGATATGCGCAATGCGTACTCACTTTCTCAAATGATTAACGCACCAACTCGCCAATCTGCCACAATGGACCGTTTTTCACAACAAATCCTGGGTGTGCTACAGCTGTTGAAATCCTTGAGCCCCTTAGCGACCATTTGTCTAGTCCTGTTCAATTAAGTATACCTGCTACAAAGATGAGTCATTTGGTTATGGCTGTATTCCGTTACCCACGAAGTGACCAACAAGCCCTCCTCCTTCCTTTATCGCGTTCCATGGCGACCTGTATCTGCATTACGCCGTTTGGAATTAAGATACGAATTGATAATTTTCCCCAAACTCTGTTCCAGTCCCAGACGAGATATCAACTCAAGTGCTCAAACTAACTAAACCAGTTTCCAGCACCCTTCTTTGTAGGTTATTCCAGCATCCTATATCGACTCAATGATGTACACTCTCGAGTGGAAATATGCAGGAATTTGTCAGATTCACAAAAGTTGCAACAAAAATTTTCTCAATAATTAAACGTCCATTTCTTTTACCAGTGTTACAAGCAAGCGGACGGAGCATGTATTTACTCAAAGTTCATCAACTATTTGGTTGATAACGGATTGCATTTTGTAACCCATCATGGCTACCCGAGGGCCATATATTGCGATACTCAACTTTTTAAACTTGTAACCGACGTCCACAAAGAACTTCACCTTTTTACAGAAACTCATGCCATTTCTTTTTTTACCTTTCAAACGCGTTTTATAAGGCTCCTCACCAACCTTTATTGTTAAAATCCGCTAGGTCCAACTTCAACTTCAACAGAATGTTTTTTTCTCAATCGCAGTCAAATCCGTAGTGCCGGAAGTAACCGAGTCGAGTCCTCTATTTTTCTTCGGTTATGTCAATGGCGTAAACCGTCTAACATTAGGGCAGCGATTAGGTCGCTGATGATTGTGCCCTGTATTCTAATAATAATTATTCCTGCGACTGTGTACAACTTGAAGCTGATTTACAACGTGTGTAATTTCGGTGTAAAAGGTGGCAAATGCGGATTACCGTATAAAACCCAATATACAGTCTTTGCCACCTAACAAACTCAATAGACTTTTGCTACAATCTTTCTGCTACAAACATTGGAGAAATACCAACTTACATGTAGGTGGGGTTCACTTATAAAGCATATAATAAAAAAGTTAGACAACTCATATTATATATCTAATAAAACACTTGGCTTTTTCTGCGACGCAACATCTTTCTCGCTTTCCAAGAAACAAAACTTTTAGCACACCACTCATTCTTCCGGCCTCAACTGGAGTACGCTTGATCCGTTTGGAATCCTGATAAACTATTCATAGAAGACATGTTAGAGGCCTTCCAAAATCGTACCGCAAGGTTTATTTACCACAAATATAGCTTTGCAGCGAGCGTCTCCGCGCTCAAAATCAGTCTTGGTCTCCCTAGGTCTCCCCTTCTAAAACACGCAGGTTGGTATTTTTCCTAACCATGTTACACAAGTATTACCACCACTTTCCTTTACAAAGTTAATTATACTGAACACCCGCACCTCACGTTGCGAATTGATATCGCTTTCAAACCTTCTGTTCTGCAATGTTCGCACGCCGCTGAGAGATCGTACAATCCCCTGGGCTAGACAAAGGCATTGTTTTCCATAGCACACGAATGATTCTCATAAAGGCATATTTGTATTTGGCATTATGTTCGCTTTTTCGTAAACCTTCTCGAAAATCTTAAAGGGGCGGTGCAACAGTTTTTGTATTTTCGGTAACTACCACCTTAAACTATTCTTTGACACTCATAACCTACGAAACACGCGTCTGCTCTATTTTTCCACAAAAAGACAGTCGCAGAAAAAAAAAAAAAATGCAGAGAAACGAACAGCGCTCAGCCTCTCAAATTGCAGCCCGGACAAACGGCCACGTGATCTGTTGCCTATTATATGCCGCGAATGTTTATTATGTCACGCGATGGGGTTTCCAAAGCACAACAAGAGTTGAGTTGCACACATTGTTAACGTTCGGCAATTTTCTTCAACGCAGTGATCGAGCCACCACGTAAATGCTAGTCAAGGCATCGATTGTGACGAGCCCAAACCGAATGCTCACGTAGATTCGGTATCCACTGCATGAGCCGCCTTGACATATCTTAACTGCGGGAATCAGAATGCCTCATGACTAAATCCCGTAGATTGCATTGTTGGCAACGCCAACAAGGCTATCCCAACCACTTCGTCATTAAGTTTTGCGAGGGTGATACCGAAAGAAAATTTCCACTCTTATACTTGAAATGAAACGTTGACATAGAAGCTTCTTGGCTAGTGGCGTTGCTTTTGATTATACCTGGGTCCCACTTGTGCCGGTAAGCTTGTTTAAAGGGAGAAACATTTCAGTTCAATATTGTTGCCGGTGCCTCTAAAATGATCACCTGCTTTACGATATCACTCCTTTTTACACAGCGGTGTCCGAGTCCTGGCGGACGCTTCTGGACGTTGGGTGTGGGCCCACCCCTGCCAACATCTTTCCGGCGACAAGAAAGATCCGTAGCATTGTCCTCAGTGACCTGGTACCAAGAAACCGAGAGGAAGTAGAGAAGTGGATTCAGAAGGCACCTGATGCTATGGACTGGTCCTTCATGAGCGAACCACTGGCCATCTTGGAGGGATACAAGTGAGAAGGGGTTTTCGCATATTTGTACACAAACAGTTGACCCGTGACGTGCATATTTGTTTGTCCTTAGTTCTTGGAAATAAGGCGTACCACATCGATTTACATGTAATTTGTTTCATTATTCTAATTGAGTAAGCAAGTGGCAAATAGGTCGACAGGCGCCAGTTATAGCCGCTCGCGCTTGTAGCCTCCTTTTTTTATTTTACTGAGATTGTTTATTCCTTGATATTGTGACTGCTCAGCGCTCCGGCGCTCTTCTCATTTGCTGAATTGAATCAAGAAAGTCGGAAGATTGGTGTTTCGAACGCGTCGCGGTGTACCACGCTATTAGAGATCTCTGAGGATAAACATCTCGTCTGATCTTGTGTAAAGACATAGCCTCCTGTAGCACGATGGATGGATGGATGGATACGGCTGGACTCCTTTAATCGGGCGGCTGCTTGCGCCACTCAGTCAAACATTTAAATTTCCGAATAAAAAGCAAGCAGCAAGATTATACCTTCTAACAGTAGATGCCTAAATTCTAAGTTAGTGGACCATGGTAAGTAGTTGCCTATGCACGCTATGCATGATCATTCTATTACCGTTCTCCACACCCGAAAGTTACAACCTGTGTGGCTGTGGCGCCGCTTCACAATGTCGCGCGTACACGCGGTGGTTCATTCGGTGCCATCTGAAAGCGCATCGAGCAAATGTCGAGGCGAAAAAAACAAAAAAAACAACAACAAAAACAACAACAACAAAGAAACACTCGACCTGTAAACGTGATCCGCAAAGAAACAAGGAACAAGCGGAGCGTTATGCTTAATATTGTCGATCCCTGACACTGACTGCTTTGTTTGCCTTCCAATTATCCTTTTGTCAAAATCGTTATCCGGTGATTCCGGTCACGCCCTACTGATTGCATTGTTTAGTCCCATTCGTATTTTGCGGAAACGTAAAGTGGTTCCGAGCTCATAAAACGTTAGGCATGGCTTACATTGTTCGCAATCTACTTTCTGATTCGTTCTTCAGCGTTGATGTCGGCCAATGTCGTAATCTCATTGGTGATAAAATGATCGGTAATCGCCAGGACCTGCGTTTGATGAGGGGTCGGTGACTATCGAGTCATTTCAATAATCGAGTTTTGGGGTTATCGCGTTTTGTCTTCGGGATCGACTGTGGATCGCGTCTCAATCATCGCAATCCGCGCTCACTTCGGAGAACTATTGTGCGGTGCGTGTACAGCCCCGAGAATGTGTGACTGGGCACGTTTCCTCGGGGTTTCAAGCGCTGGACACCACGTTCTCTCCACGCGCAGGCATTTCAAGGACTGTGGGAGTACTGCCGTTTCATCCGTTCAGATACTCAAAAGTTATGAACGTGTCTGGGATTATTTTTAGTAACTATACCGTGCCTGGGGTGTGTCTCCGAATGATGTGTTTAACGGGTCCTCAAATGTAGTCCTGAGATCCTCCTGATGATCTGAACAAAGTGTCATGCTGCGGCCCGTCGCGAGCCTGGTGGTGTCAAAGCAGCAGGGTGAGTGGGGAAGATTCCCCTTCTGCTGTGTGTCGCTCTATTGCCAGACAGTCGAATGAAACCAAAGCAGAGTCGAGTTGAGGCACTGCGCCTACAGCTACGCTTGCGTACACTCGCCTTTCTAGACAGCATTTTTACAACTAGCCGCCAGGGGGGAGACATTCGATAGCATGACACACAGGTCCCTGCGACGTAGTGTGTTGCCACACTGGAACCACTTTCTATCCACGGGCTGGATAGGACAATAGACACGCCGGTTGAAAACGTGTTCTAGGGACTTTGCTTAAACCAACAACTGCTTCATGCAGGGACGCAAAAATAGGAGCCATGGACATCGAAGAAAGAACACGCGGGGCGGTCAAGAAAGTCATTCCCTGCGACGTCCTGCACCAGAACGTCCTTCCCAAAGGACACGAGGAAGCCTTCGACGTCGTCCTATCGAGCCTTTGCCTCCAGTGTGCCTGTCGAGACAAAACCACCTATCAAAAAATCAACCGGAACGTCTCAAGCCTGATCCGCAAGGGAGGGCACCTGATACTGTGCGGCACTGCCGGACAGAGTGACTACACTTTTGGCAACGTTACGTTCCCCGACCTTTGCGTTTCTAAAGCCATGGTGGAGGATGCACTAATCAGGTCGGGGCTTGAGATCATACGCTGGAGCTCCCTTGACAGCCCGATCTCCTCTGCGAGCCAGAACAGATGGGACTTCGCGTACGTCGTCCTAGCCGAAAAGCTTTGAAGAACCGTGAAGTGGAAGCTGGTAGCGGTAAACTGAGGAGGAAAAGAAAAGCACCCCTCCCACAAAGCTCTTTGCATGCCCTGATTGGTGTCTTCCCCCTCTCTAGGTGCCTCCTCTTTTGCGTTCCTAAGTAACAACACTGAATTTTTGACGTCGCTTAAATAATGTCAAAGCGAGATTGAACTCGAGTTTCATCCGAACACTGACGCAGCACTCGTGTCGACTCTGCGCGTTGACCTTCTTTAGGTGACGTCGGCAATTCGGCACTACGGCTTTGTTGTCAAGGAGGCGTTGCTTGGCTAAAGTAGGAGTCGAGAGTTTTGTGGGAGGAGATAGTTCACGGGTTAGCCACGGGACGCATCGTGATCGGAAGCGGTTTTTGTCTTCACTGGTGCCTTTAAATGTTATAGCATGTCTTGCGGCGTTCACGGAGTACGGAAACTCCTAAGCTTTGTATCAGAACCGAGTTTCGGCGCAGCTGTCGCGCTCCAACTCATCTCCAATATAGCGCTACACTGTGCGGTCGAAGCGAAGCGCGAACAGTGTACAATTGCTTCTAATGCGATCTCTTCAATCCACATCTTTTGTCTGTGGCGACACGGGTTTGTTTTCATTAAAGTTCTTTCCTTCGTTCAGAGCGGTGCGGGACTTGCCCTTCGCCGTCTCGTCTCTCTCGCCTCGAAACACATCGAAGTCGAGTGTCACGATTAGCCTCTTAGTCGTAGGGTTCTAAACAACAGCACCAGCGCAACCGAAGCGAGCAAACAAGCCGGCAATGTTTGGCGTACTGGATAGCGGCTACTTGATAGAAATAAAAAAAAAATGAAAGCCGTTTGCAATTTCCTGTAACGCCGGATTAGAGCGCAGCTCTTGAGGAGGAGGATGGAGGCGCACTGAGGAATAGGTGACTCCTTGAGGTCACGTGACCTCAGGGGGCTCGTGTGACGTCAGGGGGATCACGTGACCTCGAGGGTCGCGTGACCTCGGGGGGGTCACGTGACCTCAGGAGGGTAACGGGACCCCAGGAGGGTAACGTGACCTCGGGGGTCACGTGACATCAGGGGGCCACGTGACATCAGGGGGCCACGTGACATCAGGGGGCCACGTGACATCAGGGGGCCACGTGACATCAGGGGGCCACGTGACATCAGGGGGCCACGTGACATCAGGGGGCCACGTGACATCAGGGGGCCACGTGACATCAGGGGGCCACGTGACATCAGGGGGCCACGTGACATCAGGGGGCCACGTGACATCAGGGGGTCACGTGACATCAGGGGGTCACGTGACATCAGGGGGTCACGTGACATCAGGGGGTCACGTGACATCAGGGGGTCACGTGACATCAGGGGGTCACGTGACATCAGGGGGTCACGTGACCTCGCGGTTACGCCGACGGCAACGCCGACGCCGCTCAAGCCGGAAACGGGCCCCTAAGAGCTGCGCTCTAGAAAAAGAACAGAGAAAATAGCGCATTTTCTGTTGGGTCCGAACTCGTCGATGCCCAGAACTCTCACCCGTGCGTACCCACCGTATCCGTGGCAACGCGGAACCGGATTCCAGACAAACATTTCAGAAGTTTTCGAATACATCTGCGAGTAATAAAATATCTTGTAAGGGATACAGGCCAGAGTAATGTTTTAGTGTTTTGCAATATTTTGTTATAAACGGTTAATTCCCTCTTGTATTCTTCGTCTTTTATTTTATCTCCCGTCTTCTTACTTATAAATTTATCGTTTCAAGAACATTCCGTTTCATCATATCTTTCAAAAGTATCTATGTAATCGTATTGAAATTCACTTTTTCGTAACAAGATGTCGTCATTGATTATTTGGAGGCCTCTCTTAACTGTGCCTTAGCTAGGTTTGAAATGAGTTCATTGAGATTTTTGTTCATAAATTTAAAGCTATCATAAAATCTTAGTTCAATTAATTTTTTATCAATAATTTTTGCATTTTTTAATGTCATAATTTTCTTCGCTCTTTGGAAAGAGCTTTCAATTTGGTTTGTCATATCATAGGTTTTTTAATGCGAAAGCATTAACGGGGGGGTCCCATGAAGCGCAGCCGGCGTTGGCTGTGACCGCGAAAAACAGGCACCTAAAAAAACGGCAGCTAAAATGGCTGCGACGCGTCATATCAGGTGCTTCGTCGCGGAAGTCGGCGGAACGCTCAAGGTCAAAGCGGTCGCGCACCGCAAATAAAACACAAAGAAAAGCACAGCAAGGCAGATCCATCGTCGCGGAAGGCGCGGAGCCGGCGGGGTTTTCTGCGCCTGCGCAGTGGGGAACCGTGATGTCACCGTCGGAGCCCCGTGCGGGATAGGAAGACATGGAGCTGTGCTTCTAAGAATGCGCTGCGTGTAGGAATGCGAAATCATTCCTACACATAAACAGTCTAAAGTGCTCTCCTAAAATGTTCTTTTGAAATATATGACAGTTCTATCCAGATTAGTTCTGAAAGCAAACTGGAATAAACGTTGAGGCATGATAATTTGCGTTACAACTGTTACAGGTCGGGCCACTATATTTTCCAGTCCATTGATTGTGATCGTAAACCTGTATCTTCAGGAGCTGTCATTAGATTAGTATTTTTCAGTTGTCTTTGCAGAAACAGTGCAACAGTGGGGACACCAGAACAAGGTGCCTCTTCAGCAAGTCATCACTAACATGTCAACAGTCCCGTCACAAAAGATCAACGACTCCCAAAAAGCTGTGGGGCTCCGGGGTTTTGAGGATTTTTAATCTTCATCAGCCCAAGTACTTCTGCTCTACGAGCACTCTCAACTGCAAAATAAAAATAATAAAGACTATCTGGCTTTGTTTTTGTGCATTCCTATGACAACGGTACTGCTTGCGAGTGGTACCACTAGCAAGTGGTTCCACAAATTGTACCACTTGCAAACATTTTCACTTGGGTTAAGCAGGCTGTAACCACAACAACATCCGTCCAAAAAGGAGCGCTAATAATACCGAGAAAAATGGTGCACGTTCTAGCGCTATAGTTAACATTTGGCGCAGTGTTCCACTCACGCGGCCGGTCTGTTGAAGACGAGAAGCGAAACGTCTAAACAAAGTTCAAGACTGAGTTTAGATATTACTTTCGACAGATTGCTATTCGTGTCTAGCAGGGATGGGCAAAATACATGCAAATATGTATCGAAATAAAAATACAAAATACTTCGTCAAAAATATATTTAATTACAAATCTAATTACATTTCCAAAAAATCATTTAAGTACAAGATACAAATAAAACCAAATGTATTTGGTCTCGTCAAAATACTTTTCCAAATACATACCTCAAAATTTGCGTCAGCGGCATTCAGGACGACTGCAACGGGTTTCTGGCTATCTAATTTTAATTTTGAATCGCACACTCGGGAGTTAGTGTGCGAGGCTCTGGTAACGCAAAAGAAATATAATCACAAAAACAAAATGTAATCAGCTTGGACGTAATAGGTAAGAACAGTACAGAGCTTCAAGTAGCTTTTTTTTTTGTCGATTATATTTTGGTATAGACCAACAAAGAGCCGAGACGACCAAGACGCGCAGCACTAGTTAGAATTTTTTTATTGTTGCAACTCACACCAGTTACGAAAATCTGGACGACCCGCGCATTTAGAATGTTCCAGGCAAAAATATGGATGGAAATCAGGCTGCAAAGCATCACAAGTTGTCACAGGCACTTATTTAGCCAGTCTGCCTGTGAACGTCGATTTCGTCACTATTCTTGCCCTGGACTAGCACCGTAATCACTAAGTCACTAAACGCTTGTGCTTGATTGAGAGACACTGCATTCGGTGCAAAACGTAGTTTTCTTTCTGCTCTGGACATTGACAATAAATTTGAGGGATGTATTTTCGCCCACAAAATTGTATTTAATTACAATTGTATTTGAAATACTCACGTTTTAGTATCTAAATACACACGTTAAATACATTACCCAATTTGTAATTAAATACGAATGCAAAATACACAAAGTATTTGAAATACTGGAAAGTACTTCAAATACGTATTTAAAATACTTGTATTTGAAATACTGCCCATCCCTGGTGTCTAGTATTACAGATGTTTTAGGAGCAGGCATTGAGCTCCATGAATTTACGATAGAGCCATTCCCTGGCTTGTCAAATGGTTGGCATGCACTTTTCTCTCATAGAATAGCTTTTTAAAACGTCGTTATTTTATTTTATCGTTGAAAAATGTTACATAGGGCGGAAAATATTTTACAATTATAAAAATATTAATTTCGATGAGGAAAAGCATGTAAATTGACAGCTGATGGACGCTGTGCAAAACCAAAACTTAATTTAAAAAAAAAATCTTATATAGAGTTGCACTCTTCCCTATGTGTACTCGTGGATGAGTGTTTGATGAGCGTGTTTCATTCCACTCATACAATAAAAAGATGGTACAAATTGTTTTGGGGGGTAACTTTTGTTAACTTATTTAGAATTAAAACCTTTGCGATGCATTTTCGTACGTTACGCAATATTTCAAGCAAATATTGTTTATTTGAAGATGAACAGTGTATTTGTGTATTTCATACGCCTTTCATGATGTATGGCTTGATGTATGGCTTGGTAGTTGCGGAGTTCTTTTCATTTTCATTTTAGCGCGATCTTCATAAACTGAAACCTGCCATCTGGTCGCTAAACTTGTCGAACACAAATTTGGGGCCGAAGTTTGCAGGGCGTGCTGATTGGACTCCCGCGATGATGGCCTCCGCGGGACGAGATGTCAATCCACGGCCGGCGTTTGTCAATCATTCGCACTATCTTGGCTCTCAAATTCCAGCGGGAATGTGAAACCACATAGAGGATATGGTGAAACACAACGTCGTAGCGAGCTTCATCGGAGCGCGCGCGAGCAACACCGTGGGGCCAGCCGATTGAACGGCTGCACTGATGACGTCTCGCCCGAGTGTCCCTGGATCCCTACGCCGCATTAGAGTCAATGAAGCGTAGATTGTCCCTAGGAGGGCGGTAAATACTCTGAACT